CGTCTCCGCTGGCCCCTGGTCCACAGGCCCAGCTGCCTCTCGTCCGGAAACACGGCGGGTCCAGGCCACGTGCCTGCAGGGCCCTAGGGGGGCCCACCCTTCCCGGGAAGCCTGGCTGGGGGCCTGTTCCTGGGGGGCCTGTTCCTGGGAGCCCCGTCCGGGCCGGCCCAGCCCGAGCCCTGGGTCCTGGGTCCTGGAGCGGGCTCGGCCTCCGGCCCTGGCGGCTCCTTGGACCCTGCGCTGCCTCCCTGACCGCCCTGGCCAGGAGCCAGGTGAGGGGCTGCCTGTGCCTCAGCCGTGCCGGGCGGAGTCGTGGGGCTGAAGCTGGGGTGCAGGCGGGTCCCTCAGGCCTCAGGGGCAGCACAGGAGGTGCAGGGTCAGAGGGAGGTCCAGGCTGTCCTCGCCTGGTACCCTGGGGTCTCCGATCCCAGGAGGGGTGCTGGGCAGGCAGATCCCGGCAGACCAGGGTGGGGTGGGCTCAGTTTCCATGGGGACCCCAGAGGACCCGCTGCAGGGGCTGATAGGGGGGTCAGGGCACCCCCAGGCCCCTGACATGAGGGTGCACCCTCTGGAAGGATGAGCTCCTGAAGGTCACTGGCCGGGGGTCTGACCCCGACAAGGCAAGGGGGGCTGAGGCGGGCGCCCCGTCCAGCGGTGTGGGGCCTGCGCGGCGGGGACGTGGCGGCTCCTGGTGCTGGTTCTGCGGGGCTCGCCCGGCTTCGGAGGAAGTGGACATCCGGCCCCGGGAGTAGAATTTGAGGCCACTTCCTCTTCTGGGTCTTGTTTCCCCAAACTGAGTAATCGGGGCTGCCCATCTGTCCTGGAGGTGGAGGTGGGGGGGGGGCTGGAGGTTCCCCTGCAGGGGAGCGGCGGGGGCGCTCCGGTCCCTGCACCCCAACCTGCCCGACACTGGGGTGCAGGCCCAGCCACGCGGGTCAAAGACACACGGTGGGGCCTCTGACCCCCAACCCCTCCCCGGACTCTGGGGGGCAGGCCAGGCACCGGGGGCAGGGCCAGGGGTCAGATCACCTTCAGGCAGAAGCGGGAGCTGGTCCAGCTCGGCACCGGGTCCGTGGGTGGCGCTCGGGGTGGACGGGGCCACAGGACGCGCTGGTTCCGGGCGGCCCATCCCGAGCCGCGCGCAGGCCCTCGCTCGGCTCTGTGTCCGGGCCATGCCCGCCCGCTCTCCGGCCCCCGGCCCTGGTACCGGTGCAGCGGGGCCGAGGCACTGTCCCCCCGGGAGCGGCCAGCTCTAGGCGGGATGTTGTGTTTCTCCAGCTGCGGAGACCAGTAGCTGAGGCCGGAGCCTGGCTGCGCCCGCAGGCCCCCCGGCCCCGCCCTGGAAGCCGGGCCCCCGCACTGAGGCCGGAGCCTGGGACCCTGTCCCGGCCGCCCGCCCACGGCCTCCTGGTCCTGCAGGGACTCGGGTGGGGGCTGCCTCCGCGCTGGGCGGCCTCCCCTCCCGCCCCAACGGGAGCCACGTGCAGAGGGGCCTGACCACGTGAGGTCCGAGGGGCATGAGCACGTGCAGTTCGAGGGGCGTGACCACGTGCAGGGGGGCGTGACCACATGAGGTCCGAGGGGCGTGGCCACGTGCAGAGGCGCCTGACCACATGAGGTCCGAGGGGCGTGGCCACGTGCAGAGGCGCCTGACCACGTGAGGTCCGAGTGGCGTGACCATGTGCAGAGGGGCGTGACCACGTGAGGCCGGAGGTGAGGAGGCGAGGTGTCCGCGCAGGCGCAGCTGAGGCCGGCTGCCCTGTCCAGCGTCCTCTGCAGTTAAAGGCCGGCGTGAGGCGCTGCCCGGCCCGGCGGCCGGTCCGTGTGAGCCCAGCGGTGAGGAGGGCGTGGCTGCACCTGGGGGTGCGGGGGGCGCCGGGCTGGGCCGGTAGGCAGAGAGCGGTGGCGCAGGAAGGGCGGGGCAGGGAAGGTTCAGGGACGGACCCCTTGGACCCGCTCCCGCGGCCTGGACGAGGCTGGGCAAGGCCCTCAACCCCACGCTGGCTGCTTGACCCTCACCCCGGCCAGACACGGCTGATTTCGGAGATGGGTCTGACCGCACTGATGCACGGGGAGAGGAACCTCGGTGATGACAGAGCCGTGGACGGGCCGCCCCCTGACTACCCGCTGGGGACGGAGCCCCGACCTCCTGGCTCTGTGGACGCTCAGCCGCGGAGCCTGCCCGCCGAGCGCTGTGCTGCTCCTTCGACGTCTCCGCGGGTTTGGAAATTTCCAGAAGGAGCAGCTGGGAGGAAGGTCCAGGCAGGAGCCCCTGGTTTAGTTGCTGGCTCGGCCAGTGGCCCCAGCAAAGCCAGGAAGACTTTTTTTAAAAAATAAGTTTTATTGATTTTTTACAGAGAGGAAGGGAGAGGGATAGAGAGTCAGAAACATTGATCAGCTGCCTCCTGCACACTCCCCACTGGGGATGTGCCCGCAACCCAGGTACATGCCCTTGACCGGACTCGAACCCGGGACCCTTCAGTCCACAGGCCGACGCTCCATTCACTGAGCCACACCAGCCAAGGTGCCAGGAAGACTGAACCAGAACTTAACGAGGAGCTGCTGCTGCTTCTCAGCGCAGACGTGGGCCCGGGCCACGCACCGGCCTCCAGAGCTCACGGCCCCGCACAGGCCACTCCCTGCTTCACCGGACGGGTGGGACAGGACAGCCCGAGAGGCCAGCGCTGGGCCGGTGGCAGCGACACTGCCAGTGAGTGCCCAGCGCCCAGGTCCCCGCGGTTCACACCCGCCTCTTCTCACGGCCCAGAAATGACGCGGGACACTGGGGGCCTCAGAACCTCCCGAGAGCAGCCGGGTCGCGGGACGGGAACCGCCCCGGGAATGTGTCCCCCGCGGCCACTTCCCCTGGCCATGGGGTTGCGCTGCCACCTCGCCCCTGTCCTCTCCGGCCACTCACGGTGACAGCATGGCCCCGGGTGCGCGATCCCCGAGACCAGCAACGCCGGGTCCCACTGGGGCTCTTCCCACAGCCTGGCCCAGGGCGACCCCTGAGACGCAGACGCCCCGACTGTCGGCTGTGCGGTGGTCCCACTGGCTCGAGTGACCACGCCTTCTCGGTCCCACGCTGTCCCCCCCAGGTCCCACGCAGTCAGGCCCCCCTCGGTTCCACAGCACGAGACGTGGTCCCCTCCCGGGCCTGGGAACGTGGCGCATCCCGGCCTCTGGGTGCCTCGCGGGCCCTGTTCCCGCCGGGAAAGCTGGGGTGTCTCCCGGCGGAGATGGGGGCCCCTTCCTGGCGGACTGTCTCCCGCCCGTGCCCCATTGCTCTCAGCCTGGCCCCCTGGGCTGTGGGTGTCACTTCGCGTGGAAGGAAACGGGGGGCTCCCCGCTTCCCCTTCTGTGGTCACGGAATCGTGAGACGGAGGAGCCTCCGGTTAGAGCCGACTTAGAGCCAAGGCTTTCCCGGGAAGTGATTCATCGGCGCCGGCTTCGTGGAATTCTGAGGGAGACGGCAGCCTGCCGTTCCCCCCCCTCTCCTGTGCACCCTCCACGGGACCGAGGGCAGCTGGCACCCGGCCCCAGGTGAGGCGTGTGCCAGGGAGGGCGCCTGTGGGTGCCCGGGGGCCGCTGCTTCCTTCCAGGGAGAAAAGAGCCTTTCTCGCCCTCTTTTTAAAATTTGGTTTTTGTATTTACTTGTTTTTGGTTAATCCTCACCTGAGGATACTTTTCCCATTGACTTTTAGAGAGAGTGGGAGGGAGGGAGGGAGAGAGAGAGACATTGATTGGTTGCCTCCTGCACGTCCCCCGACCAGGGCCAGGGTTTGAGCTGCAACCAAGGTACGTGCCCTTGACCGGGGAGCAAACCCGGGACCCTTCAGTCTGTAGGTAGACGTTCTAACCCAGCCGTGGGCAAACTACGGCCCGCGGGCCGGATCCGGCCTGTTTGAAATGAATAAAACTAAAAAAAAAAAGACCGTACCCTTTTATGTAATGATGTTTACTTTGAATTTATATTAGTTCACACAAACACTCCGTCCATGCTTTTGTTCCGGCCCTCCGGTCCAGTTTAAGAACCCATTGTGGCCCTCGAGTCAGAAAGTTTGCCCACCCCTGTTCTAACCACTGAACACACTGGCCAGGGCACCTTTGTGGAGAGCGGCTACAGCGTTGGACAGGTTCAAGCCTCAGACTAGTGAGAGGGCCCAGGAGCCTCCCAGCACAATTATAGCCAAAGGCTGTGGTTGTGAGCTTGACCTCATGGCCCGAACCTGTGGCCCCAGGTGGCTGAGTGATGTGGGCTGCGGGAAGTGCAGCAAGTGCTGCCAAAACAAAGCTTGATAGAGTTCAGGGGCACGTGATTGAGTGGATTCAAAACCGCAAGAACATTCTAAACATCTTGGCCACGCCCTTACTTTGCCTGGTGGAAACTGCTTTAAAATAAAGACTCAGCTTGCAGGCCGTGGTGCCGTCTCTCTAATCAGAGGGCAGCGTCCCACCTGGTCCCAGCTTTATCTCTTGTCTGTCCTCAATCCTTCACCCCCCGCCCCAGGCTCACCCCTGGCCGTGCTGAGCGCGGCGCACACCTTTAGCAGTTCTGCCTCATCCGGGGTAATTACAGCGGGGTTTTTGCTGTGTCCTTACCGCCTGCCGTTCCCCAGCGCCCGTGTCTGCGTCGGCCGGCAGGCTGGGCGGCGTTTTATTTCAGGCGGGAGGGGGGGCGGGGGGAGTGAAGGTGCGGCGGCCTGAGCACCACGCCTGTCAGCCGTCCCGTGGGCCCGGAGGACGGGCATGTGTCCCCGGCAGGTTCAGGTGCTCAGATGGACATGACGACGGCCAAGGAACACGTGAGGGAGCGGAGCCCCTTTAGAACGGGGGACGGTGCCGAGTCAGGAGCGAGGGCGCAGGAGGGGTGACGGCGGGAGGGTGAGCAGCGGGGAGCGCCATCCGGGACCCTGCCGGCCTCCTCCCTCCCATCCTGGTCCACGTGGGCCTCGGGACACGCGGGAGCTCGCGGACAGAGAGGCCGGGAAAGCGCTCGCTTCAAGGGTTAGAAATCTCCTTCTCTTTATTTCAGCCTTTTCTTAAGGAAGTAACTGATCATGTTTCAGCCTCTCCCTGAAACATGAAACAGGGCTTGATGCTCCCCCTGCCCGGGGCAGGGAGAGGCTTGGGCTCCTGCTCAAGGTCACGGGCCAAGGTCACCGGCGAGGCGGCCGTCCCGCGTGGGATCCTGGCAGCGAGGGGCCCTCCACGTGGGGCCGGGCCGGGGTCACTCCACACCGTCCAGGCCCTGCCGCTCCCTCCTCTCCAACTGCAGCACCTGGAAGGAGGAGCCTGTGAGAACCTCGTCCTGGGCCCACGTGGACGGTCACGCTTGGACGTACAGGATTCACGGCAGAGGGGGCCGAGGCCGAGGACTGAGAAATCGGGGTGTTGCACGGCGTCCGCCAGGATCTCTCTGTGGCCGGACAGACGCGGGCACAACGCCCCACTGCCCGAGGGGGAGACTGCCGCTGACTCCGGCTTCCCTGGCGTGGCTCCTCAGGGTTCTACGTCTGCACGGCCTCCGAACCCCATTCCATTCCTGATCTGGGGAACCACCGCTGGGCGCATCGGGGGGGGGGACCAAGCCCCGCCTCGCACTAACTCCGTGTGTGGGGGGGGGCGAGTCCTGGGCATATGGGACGTGTAGCAGCACCCCTGGCTCAGCCCCCGGGCCACCCCTGGGCAAGGTAACCAGAGCATCTCCAGCCGCTGCGGCTGTTCCCTGGGGGACCGCCCTCTGAGAGCCATGCACGGAGCGCAGTGTGGGCCGGCTCCAGCCCCACACCAGGCAGGAAGGGGGCTCCCCCAGCCCCATTCTCTAGCTCAGCGGTGCACTCGCCACAGGTCTCACGTCCAGCGTACCCTGTGCTCCCTGCCAGCCGTCTTTCTCCTGCCCCGGCTTACCACATGCACTGGGGGGGTGGGGGTGGGGGTCTAACTGCGGTCTGTCGGTCTGTCTATCTCGGAAAAGGGAAGGGGGGCCTATACCTCCTTTTCAACAATCCTCACCCGGGGATGTTTTTAAATATTTTTATTTTAGGGAGAGAGGGAGAGCCAGAGAGAGGGAGGAGGAGGAAGGGAGGGAGGGAGACGTCGATGTGAGAGAGAAACATCGGCCAGTTGCCTCCCATACGCACCCAACCAGGGATCAAATCTGCAACCTGGGCGTGTGCCCTGACCGGGCATCGAACCCGCGACCTTTGTGCACAGGATGAGCCGCCCGGCCAGGGCCTCCCCTGCTTTCTGTTGTTGTTGACCCTCACCCGAGGGCACTGTTGTCCACTGGTTTTCAGAGAGAGAGGAGGGGGGTAGAGACAGAGAGACACACTGATGTGACACGAACTGGTTGCCTCACACCCGTGCCCAGACCAGGCCAGGGGATCGAGCTGCAACCGAGGTCTGTGCCCTTGACTGGAATCGAACCCAGTCCATGGGCTGAAGCTCCAACCACTGAGCAACCCGGCCAGAGCCTTGTGCCTGTTTTTTTTGTTGTTAATCCTCACCTGAGGATATTCTTTCATTGATTAGAGAGCGGGGGAGAGAGAGGGAAAGACAGAAAGAAACATGGATGTGAGAGAAACACATCCATTGCTGGCCTCCTGCACACACTCTGACCAGGGCCCAGGCAGGGGAGGAGCCTGCAACCGAGGTACGTGCCCTTGACGGGAATCGAACCCGGGACCGTGTGGTCCACAGGCCGATGCTCTATCCACTGAGCCACACTGGCCAGGGCCCTGTGCCTGCTTTTTAAGTGGATGTTATTAACCCTCCCTTGGTTCTATTATTAATTAGGAAAAGGACGGGCAGGGTGGTCTGGAAGCGGTAAGGCCAGTCGTCCAGCACGGACAGTGACCGGCACCGAGTCCATCCCGCGAGGGCCAGCCACTCATTCTGGGGAACGCAGTGCCAGGAACCACAGCCCAGCCCGGAGCAGGGCGTGCCGAACGCTGACGCCAGCCCCTGGCCCTTTGCAGCAGCGAGGGTGGCAGGCGCCGTCCCCCCCGAGCCGCTCCGGCCCGGCCTGGCCGCGGCGCCTCGCTGCCCGCTCACCTGGTTTTCTATGCAGCGGAACTGCCAGGGCCAGCCCACGTGGTAGAGGAACGGCCGCAGGTCGAACCTGTTGTCGTCGGGGCTGTAGCTCTCGGCGTGGTACGCGGGCGTGAGCGTGGTCATCTTGTGTCTGTTCACGGAATACTTGGAGAAGAACCGCTTCACCTTGTCAGCCACCTGGCGGTGGGGAGGCCCGGCGCTTAGAGACCCGAGGCCGGGGCTGCGCCCGCTGACAGATCCCCGCTGCCTCGCACGGCCCGGAGGCGGGAGAGCACTGGGGGGCGGGGCTGAGCTATAATGCAGGTTCCGACAGCAGCGTCGGGAGACCTGAGCGGTCCCGGAAGCTCTGGCTCACCAGGCTGCCCGGCGGTTCCGTGGGGACCTAGTGAGTCCGACAACGGGCCGAAAGCGGCGCCGCTCCGACCTCAGTCCGCTCTCCCCACGGAAGGAGCTCGCCTGCTGCGGTGGGTGAGCCCCTCCCGGGAACATGGCCGGGGCCGAGGGAGGCCCCGCGGTGGGCGCTGGGGACTGGACGGGGGTGTCGGTGAGACGGGGCGTCCTGGTTTTAGCTCACACTTGCCCTGCCAAACCCGCCGCTGCCAGGTGACCACCTGCCCTCACCCCCAAGCCCCCCAGTACCCCCCCCCTGTGAGCGTCGGCGCGGCACCTGCCGGGGGGTGCAGACGTCCCTCCACAGGTGCAGGAGTTTGCAGAACATGCTGTAGGGGCCGGTCTTGGCGATCTTCCGGAGCCTCCCATAGACCGAGAGCTCGGCGTAGGTCATCCCCATGTCCTCCTGCGGGGAGGGCGAGGCGGGTCAGAGCCAGGCGCTGCGAGCTTCCTGGGGAGACAGGCACGGGACCAGGGCCGGGCCTCGGTCCCCGACACCGACGGCCGAGGAGGAAGCCACTTTCAGAAAGCAGACGGACCAGCCGGCAGGGGCTCTGGGTTAGAGCGACGTCCCGACGCGCCAAGGTTGCGGGTTCGATCCCCCGTCAGGGCACATGCGGGAGTCAACAGTGAATGCACCGATGAGTGGACACAAATCAAAGTTCCTCTCCCTCTCCCTCTCCCTCTCAAGTTAATTTTGAAAATTAAATAAAGCCCTGGCCGGTTTGGCTCAATGGATAGAGTGTTGGCTGACGGGTCCTGGGTTTGATTCCCAGTCAGGGCACGTGCCCAGGTTGCAGGCTTGATCCGCAGTGTGGGGCGTGCAGGACGCAGCCAACCAATGATTCTCATCACTGATGTTTCTCTCTCTCTCCCCTCTCTCCCTACTCTCTGACATCAATAAAAAATAGTTTTAAAAAATAAAAATTGAAAAGACGAACCAGACATGTGGCTTGGAGGACTGCAGCTGCGGCCCCTCAAAGGAGATGTTCCGGCCCTAAGCCCCGGGACCTGCAAATTGTGAATTTATTTGAAAACAGGCTAACCCTTGCAGGTGTAAGTAGGATCTCAGGATAAGATCAGCCTGGGTTGGAGGTGGGCCCTATATCCAGGGCAAGGGGCCTCATCAGAGACAGAAGAGAAGGCGGGGGAGAGGCCGAGGCGACCCGGCCACCGCCCAGGGCTGCCTGGAGGAGGCAGGAAGGCAGGAGACGGGCGCGACCACACGAGGACATGGACACGGCACGCGGCCAGCTCCCTGATCGCAACAGAGCGGGTGCCAAATCAATGACAGACGTTTGGAAACTCAAACTAAAATGAGATGAAAAGTAAGATCATCCTAAACAACCCACAGGTCCAGGGAGAACCCGCGGAAAACTCGAGCGCATCCTGCAAAGAGCAAGAACGAGGGCCCCACTCAGCGAGCAGGGGCTGCGGGGAGACCGCGCTCGGAGGCTGCGCTCAGACACCTGCCCTTACGAAGGGGGCGGACAGCCTCGTGCGCAGGGACCTGACCCCCTCCCCGAGCCCCCCCTCCCCGAGCCCCCCCTCCTGATACCAGCGGGCGTGGAGGGAGGAAGGAAATCGGTGAACAGAACAGAAACGTGGAGAAAACCCGACCGTGTAGCCCGGCTCGCACGGCTCAGTGGTTGAGCGTCGACCTGTGAACCAGGAGGTCACGGTCCGATTCCTGGCGGGGGGGGGGGGTCAGGGCACAGGCCCGGATTGTGGGCTCGGTCCCTAGTGTGGGGCGTGCAGGGGGCAGCCAGTCCGTAACTTTCTCATCCTTTATGCTTCTCTCTCCCTCTCGGAAATCAATAAAAATAAAAAAAGAAAATTGTGTTTCTAGACACTGGCAAGGAGCCCCCAGAAACAAAATTCAGAAAACAATTCCATTTTCAACGGGACCCAGAAGAACTACTTAACAAGTGAACTGGACAAAACAGTCGCACGGTCACTCTGAAACCTGCAAAACGTCGTTGGAAGATGAACAAGATCTCACTACACGGCCAGGAGACCGAACACATCAGGACGGCGACTGACCTACGGTCGACGCCTGCGCCAGGCAAGTCCGCGCTGGGCTCTCTCTGGCAGAAACAGACAAGCTGATCCCAAACTTCACGTGGAAATGCTACGGACCCAGAATTCCCAAAATTATCTTGACAAAGAACCAGGCGGAGACCTCACACGCCCCCATTTCCACACGTGCTAACGACAAGAGCCACAGCCGTGGAGACCGGGTGGGACCGGCGTGGACGTGGACGCACAGAGGACGGGACAGAAGCCAGAGCAAACCCGCCGTTACCGTCGGCTGATCACAACGTCGCCGCGACGAGGCAGCGGGAGACAGAGCAGCGTCTGCAGCAAGTGACGCTGGGACCCCTTCCTCACGCCACTCGGCAACGGACCCTGCGAGTCACAGACCCGAGTGCGAGGCCAGCCCTCTCCCGCTCCCAGGAGAGGAACAGGTGTCCCTGTGCCCTCAGGGGCCGCAGCAGGACGTCAGCGGTCCCGGATGTGACGCAGGCCCGGCCCGCCCTCAGCGCCCGCTGCAGCCGGAAACCAGAGCCTGGGACCCCCCGGCCGGGTCACGAAAGGCAGCCGGGATGGAGGGGCGACAGTCTTCTGTGAGGTCACCCACAGGCGTGCAGACACCCCCCCGCCGTCCACTCCTCCCTGCCCACTCCCCTCACGTCACCCCTGCTCCCAACCTCTGGAAGGCCAAGTCCAAATGTCAAAGGCCAGCAGTGGCCGCACCGCCCGGGCTCCCAGGCCAGAATCCCAGCAGTGGAGCCCAGTGCCCCGGGCAGCAAAGGGCCACGACGGAGCCCAGGGCACACACACCGGCCCAGGGAGACGGCAGAAGTGCAGGGACAGAGCCACCACATTACCTCGTCCGTCTGGGACACCTGTCCGTCGGCCAAGGGCTCCAGCTCTGCGGTGGCCGGGGCGGCCAGGATGCTGCGAACAAGACAGGCAAGTCAGGGCGGCTGGACGCTAATGAAGGCACAGGTACCACCAGGCTCTCCGCTCAGCACAGGACGGACGGACAGAGCAGGGGATGGGCAACGGGGGATGGGGACCAGGCGGCAGGAGCCTGGGGAGCAGGAAGGAAGGAAGGAGTGCCTGGTCGCGGGACCCCAAGTGCTGGCGGAAGGGAGATGTTGTCCGGCCGCCGGGGGCTGGGGAGGGGGTGGCTGAGGGGCTAGGGAGGCCGGGCCACGGCTCAGGGCCCAGCCGGGCTGGCGGGGGACCCACCGCTGCAGGGCGGGGAGCTGGAAGCGCTCGAGGCAGAACTCGACGAAGACCCGCAGGTCCGTCTTGCTGATGCCGCCGATGGGGTTGATGTCAGCGCTGGAGCAGTCGTACTTGGTCAGGTAGCCCAGGAGGCTGCGCGAGAGAACACGGGGTTCCGTGCGGCCGACCCGAGGGGTGCGATTCGCCCAGCGCGGCGGCCTGGCATCTCCGGGACTTGGCACCCCCCGTGCAGCTCACAGAACCGGCAGAGGCCGTGGAAACACCGCTGTGGGCAGCACTCGCCCTCCAAGATCCAGGAGCCCAGGCCCCTCCCACGCCCGCGGCATACACACCTCTCGTCCACGTTGGCGGACCCCAGCACCAGCAGCCCACCGGGGGCGCCCCGGGCCCAGAGGCTCAGCTGAGCAAAAAGGTAGGCGACGACCATCCTGAGCCGAGCCTGACGGGAGGGGAAGCGTCACCGTGTGTGGGGCACGTGGAGGGCGACGCGGGCCTCACGCCCGGTCCCGTCGCGGCTCGAGAGGCCGCCCCACGCAGCCCCTGGAACACGGGACAGTCGAGGCTCTCGGCTTCCTCGCTCCGCTCCGGGGAAGGCGGCGTGCGGGCCCTGCTATGCCTCCTCGGCTGCCCATCATGGTGCCCGTGCGCGCTCGGCGGGGCCGAGTCAAAGGCAGAAGGGCCTAGAGCAGCGGTTCTCAACCTGTGGGTCGCGACCCCTTTGGCGGTCAAACGACCCTTTCACGGGGGTCGCCTAAGACCATCCTGCGTATCAGATATTTACATGACGATTCATCACAGCAGCAACATGACAGTGATGAAGTAGCAACAGAAATAATTTTATGGTTGGGTCACAACATGAGGAGCTGTATTTAAAGGGCCAGAAGGTTGAGAACCACTGGCCTAGGGCCTGGGGCCGAGTGTTGGTGGCGGGACTGGGCTGCACAGTGGCCGGGAGGAACCTGGCCGCCTCGTCTGCTCCCTCCACACTGGCCTCCCTGGAGGAGGGGAGGCCGCCATGCCCAGCGGAAGGGGACAGAGAGGCCCAATGCGAGCGGCCGGAGCTCAGGGCAGCCGGTCAGCATCCAGCTCCCCAGAGGCAGCCACTCACCGAAGATGCAGAACACACACCCTCACACACACACTGTGTACGCACACACATACACACATTGTGCACACATACACACTGTGCACACACACTGTGCACATACACTGTGCACACTCCCATCTCACGCTCACACCAGTGCCGATTCACACCCCTACACCCACTCCTGTGCACACACACTTGTGCACTCACACTTGTGCACTCACAGATGCTCACAACCCACATGCACCCTTTCAAACTCACATACACGGTTGTGCACACACATACCTTCACCCACGCACCCCCTCAGACACGCTTACTCTTGCACACTTATACTCACATGCACGCTGTCTCGCACCCTGACCCTTACATGCACACACACACACGTGCACACACCGACTGGCCCTGTCCGGGAGGCCGCATGGGCAGTGTCTCCGGGGCTCCCTGCGGCCCCATGCAGGGACGGGGCGGGGCGGGGCTGGGAGGCGCACCTGCACGTTCTGCAGCGCCAGGTTCTCCTTGCTGCTGCCCCCGTGAGCCGCAAACTGAGGCCTCTTCCCCGTCACCAGGCTGAAGATGCTCATGACGGCCGTCACGGCGGGGTCGATGCTGAGGCCGATGTGGTGGCTGGAGGAAAGGGCGGGCGTGAGGGGCTTCTGTGCACGTGCGCAAGGGGTGTGTGTGCACAAGGGGTGGGCATGAGGGATGTGCATTGGGGTGGGTGTGAGGGGCATGTGCAAGGGGTGGGCGTGAGGGGCGTGTGCACAAGGGGTGGGCGTGAGGGGCGTGTCTGCGTGTGCACAGGGGTGGGTGTGAGGGGCGTGCCTGCGTGTGCACAGGGGTGGGTGTGAGGGGCGTGCCTGCGTGTGCACAAGGGGTGGGTGTGAGGGGCGTGCCTCCATGTGCACAGGGGTGGGTGTGAGGGGCGTGCCTGCGTGTGCACAGGGGTGGGTGTGAGGGACGTGCGTGCGTGTGCACAGGGGTGGGTGTGAGGGGCGTGCCTGCGTGTGCATGCGGCAAAGCACACACAACACAAAATCCACGCCGACCACTACAAAGTGCACGACTCGGTGGCAGCTGGTGCGTCCACATGCTGTGCAATCACCACCTGTCTCGCTCCAGAACTTTCCATCACCCAAAAGGAGACGCTGGACCCACCAGCTGTCACTCCCCTCTCCCCTCCAGCCCCGAGGACGCCCTGTCCACCCGTCTCTCTGGCCCTGCCTCTTCGGGACGTGTCACGGACGAGGGTCACACGGGGCTGGCCCCTCTGTGTCTGGCTGGTCCTCAGCACCACGGCCTCCCGACCGAGGGCAGCAGGTGCCAGGCCCCTTCCTTCCGGGGACCGGACAGTGAATCCACTGCGAGGAGGGGCCGTGCGTGGCTGTGACGGACGCCGGGACGTGGCGCACTGGACCTGAGCCCTGCGTGCGGTCCCTCGGGCACCGGGCTGCAGGGGGACCAGGGGCAGCCGCCCTGAGCTCAGCACACAGGCGGGCGGTGCCCCTCTGTCCTAAGAGGCAGAGTGAGGGGGACACGAGGAGGCCCTAGTCACCCCGCTCTGGAGAGAAGCCCTGTCCCCTCCTTCCTCAGGCACAGGGGCCGCTGGGGCGAGGGCAGCCCTGCAGCCGGGACCCGGGCGGGAAGGGGGGGAATCGGGCAGCTGGGACGGGGGGACATGACACACGGGCTCCTGGGACGTGGCTCAGACCACGAGGCAGTGGCCCCTGCTTGACCCCGGATGTGTGCTTAGCCACAAACGTGTCGCGGCCCCCGGCCCTGGCCACCACCGGCGACCCACTCACCTCCCGATCTGCTGGGCCAACTCCCGAGCCCTGTCGCTGGTCTCCCGGGAGGAGTTCTCGCTGGCCATGTAGCAGGTGGTCAGCAGGCGCCCGCAGAGCTCCCGGGGGTCCTCGGGGGTGTAGCCGGCCTCGCTCACGAGCGTCCGGACGTCGGCCAGCACCTCCTGATCTGAAAGCCGCCGCAGAGGGTGGCAGCCGCGTGCTGGGCACGGAGCCCGCGGAGCCCGGGCCCACCCTCCCCACCGCCCTCCCCACCGCCCTCCCCACCGCCCTCCCCACCGCCCTCCCCATCACCCCGGGAATCTCGTCACCCCGGCAGCACCGGTCACCCCTGCTCTTGGTTTGTGTTGCTAAGGGGACACCGATGTCGAGGCAGACGGAGGATCGGAACTGGGGTTGCCCGGCCTGAAGCCGTGCGCCTTGCACCGGCCACGCTGACACACAGCTCGGCCGGTGTCTGAATCCCAGGAAGGGACCTGAACGGCCTTGCTGTCCCCAGGCCCAGGCCCCGGGCGCGAGGCTGTGACAGCTCAGCACGTCCGCAAAGCCCCCGGGACCTGGTTCCCCTCGGCTCCGCCCGGGGCAGCGAGTGCGGATCCCCCACCCCCCCAGCCACAGGGGCCACCTACTTCCATTCCTCACGGCCTCACAGACCTGGCGGCACATGGAGTGGACGAGGCAGGCGGTGGCCGCGCTGTCCAGGCCGCCACTCAGGGGCAGGAAGAACCCCGCCTGCAAGGGGCCAACCAGACGCAGCCTGAGCCCAGCCTCGGGGACGTGGCGCCCCGCCCCACCCCCCCGCCAGCCTGACCAGCGCCCACAAAACTGCGCGGGCGCCCAGCTTACAGGGCAGAAGAGGGTGCCCTGCCCTGCACACCCCACGGTGGGCTCCAGGGGCAGGGCCTTCCGCGGGGAGAACGGCCAAGGGTGACTCCACAGGCACTGGAGACGGCATGACCCCAACGCTGGCCACACGCAGAGCCCCGCCTGGCGTGCCCTGCGGCCCCGGCCGTGCAGACCGAGCTCCTGACTACGTCCCAGCGGGGAAACGCTTTGCCTGGGTTGCGTTTAAAAAACAAACATTGGGCCCGGCAGGCACGGCTCAGGGGGTGAGCATCGACCTATGAACCAGGAGGTCACAGTGCGATTCCCAGTCAGGGCCCAGGCCCAGGTGTGGGCTCCATTCCCAGTGGGGGGCGTGCAGGAGGCAGCCGGTCCATGATTCTCTCTCATCGTTGATGTTTCTCTCTCTCTCCCCTCTCCCTTCCTCTCGGAAGTCAACAAAAAAAAAGTTTTTAATATAGTAAACACATATTTAAAGAAAACGAACAGCCAAACAAAAAAATCACTCTCCTGCACAGAATCGACACACACCAGCGAGGAGGAGCAGGTCGGCGGGTGCGGCCCTGAGGTCCTACCTGTTGGCTTCGTCTTAAAAAGTCCCAGAGCCAGCAAGCGGGTCCGAGGCTGGGGGGCAACAGGGGGAGTCAGGTGTGGGGTTTGGTCCCTGGTGGGGGGGTGCCTGGGGGAGTGTGGGGGGAGGGGAGGGTAGAGGACAGGGCTTCTGTCTCGAGTCTCCGTGGGACACGCTCAGAGCTGGGGTGCACCCGGTGGCGGTGGCTGCAGCGTCCACACCATCGGCCCCAGATGCGGTGACCGCCTCCTAACAAGAGCTCCCCAGACAGGATTCTGAGATCCCAGCACCGCCCACCTGATCTCCTCGCCGACGCTGTGGTATCTCCACTCCACGGGCTCCGACAGCGGCTGCAGCAGGTCCTCGCGGCACGAGAGGGCGAAGTCCACCTTCACGCGGGGGTAGGGGCTCGCCCTGCTGGCCTGTGGGTGGAGTCGGGCCTGATGGTGACCCGGTGCCACCTCAGGGCCCCACGCGGCTGAGCGGGACTCTGTCCGCCACTGGACGCACGTCAGAGCCGCAGCGGGCGACCCTCCCACCCACTGGACGGCCACGATCGGAGAGACGGACGGCACCGTGTCGGCGGGACGTGGAGGGGCGGAGCCCTCGGACGTGCACGGCCGGTGGGGTGCAGGAGGGGCGGGACGGCGGGCAGCTCCCCCAAAGGTAACGGTAGAAGGGCCCCGTGACCCAGCACTTCGCGCCCGGCCAGACCCCGGGAGAAGCGGGAACTGCGTCCATGAGAACCGGGGCCTGTGCTCCCAGCCGCACGTTCGTCCGGACAGAACGTGGCAACAGCCCACACGCCCGTCTACGGACGAGGGACAAACGGCGCGGTCCAGCCACGCAATGATGTCACTCGGCCAGCAAGAGGCACGGAGCCCCGCACGCTGCCACGTGGATGGAGCACGAAAGCATTCTGCTCCGTGGGAAGCCAGTCCCCGCACACGGGCGTGAGGAGGCAGCTGGTCCACGATTCTCTCTCATCATGGATTTTCTCTCTCTCTCCCCGTCTCCCTTCCTCTCTGAAATCAATAAAAATAAATTTAAAAAAAGAAAAAAAGAAATGGGGGTGGGTGGGAGCGGCCAGAGAGGTCAGTGGGGGGAAAGGAGACTTATGTAACACTTAAAACAATAAAGAATTTAAATTTTAAAAAAAAGAGAAAAGTTCTAACACTGTGGTGAGGCTGCATAGTATATGCAGGAATATCCTAAAGCCACAGAATCGCGCTGAGTCAGTGAACTGTGTGGTGTGGGAAAGACGCCTCAATAAAGCTGTTGTTTAAAAAAAAAGCGTCTGGGTCTCGGGCCAGCGCCCGCCAGGTGCCCACGTACCGCCAGGTTCCGGGAGGACATCTCGGCCCGGTAGCTCCTGACGTCCTCCAGGTCCAGCGTGGCGGTGAGCACCTCCTGCGGGCGTGGGGGGGTGAGTGCCTCTCGCCCACGCGCCGGTCGCCGCCCCGAGGTAACAGGTGCGCCCACCGCACGGGGTGGAGCCCTGTGGCCCCGGACGGGCGGTCAGGCCGGGACCCGCCGTCGCTCACGCGGGCGCCCGCAGAGCCGGGTGGGATCCTGGGCACGATGGCATTTCCGCCCGTTTCGGCAGTAACAGCCGTCGCCCCTCTGGCTTCCCCACACGGAGGCGGACGACGCAGTCCCCAGACCTTCCCCTCTGCTTCCTTCCCTCTAACCCCCCGATCGCTCCAGGTCCCCGCCAGCCGCGGACTTACCCACACACGCCCGCCACACGCTGGGGGGGCAGGGGACCAGGTCGCCCCCTCTCGTTACTACAGGGCCTCCTCCTCCCACAGCCACACGGGGTCCCCGGACGCCCAGCGCCACTCAGGGCGACGCTGGTGGTGCGTGTGGGGGCGAGTGCAGCGGGTGGAGGGGAACCGCCAGGCAGGAGCCTTCAGGGCCCCACTGGACACCCCAGTTGTGGGGGACAGAGCACCGACGGGGAAGGGACCCCGCGGCTCTCACCACGTCGTCCAGGGAGAACTGGGATCCCTGCGCGAACACGGCGCCGTTCATGGCGATCATGGCGCAGCCGTCGTAGTAGAGCCGGTCCCCGTCGCAGCCCTTCTGGTTGGCCAGCAGGTAGATGCCGCCGTTCTGCAAGGCGCAGGCCACAGCGCGTCGGCGAGGTCCGTGCCGTGGCGCCACCGGCCCGCAGGCCGCAGACCCCGCCCGCGAGCTCACTGCGTGTCCCCAGGAAGAAATGCCGGCGCTCAGGAGGCCCACAGCCTGCGGCCACCGCACTTGGCCTTCTGGGCTCCCAGGCGGGACGTCAGTGCCCACGTCAGCGCCCACATCCCCCCCACAGCCCCGTGGGGGGCGCTGGCATCTCTGTCCGTCAGGAGGGGACACGAAGGTGCCGAGAAGACAGACCCGGTGAGGAAGCCGAGGTCCTGACCCAGCTCAGCTGATGCAAGCTGTCCCGCGAGCCACCCAACAACGCGCCTCACTGTGTCGCAAGAAGGCAGATGGCCCGGCCCTGTGGCTCGGCCACGAGCGACCACCAGGGACCAAGAGGTGGCCGGCTGGATTCCCGGTCAGAGCACATGCGTGGGTTGCAGGCTCCATCCCCAGTAGGGGGCGTGCAGGAGGCAGCCGGTCCATGACGTTTCTCTCTCTTTCTCATCAATGTTTCTCTCTCTCCCTTTCTCTCCAAAAATCAATAAAAATGTATTTTTTAAAAAAGAGTGAATGTGCGGGTGGTCCCCAGGCTACACCACAAAGCCAACGGCAAATGGCTCAGCCCCGTTCTCGGTCCCCGTGTCACTTGTCCCAAAACACCGTGCAGCGGGTGAGGGCGGGAGGCGGACGCTGGCGGGTGAGGGCGGGAGGCGGATGCAGTGGGTGAGGGAGGGCGGCGGACACTGGTGGGTGAGGGCGGGCGGCAGTCGCTGGCGGGTGAGGGCGGGAGGCGGAGGCTGGCGGGAGGCAGACGCTGGCGGGTGTGCCCCGTGCCTGCTCCAGAGGGGATGTCACAGCGCCTGCCTCGCAGGGTGGATGCCAGGGCTGGACGAGTCGGGCAGGCGGCCCCCAGCCGAGGAGCGAGCTGCTTGCTGAGCGCCGGCCGCACTAGCAGGACTGGGTGGTCCTCGTGTGCGGGCCACGCCCTGTGCCGGGGCTGGGACTCGGGCGAGTGCGAGACACAGCGCCGGCCCTGGTGCCCGCGTGCTCCAGCGTCCCGGCCGGTGCCTACCTTGGTGGTGGCCATGGTGACCAGGTCCACCCTGGCGTGGGCTTTGCGCAGCACGTGGTGGCTGCCGGAGGCGTTGGTGAAGATCTCCACGCCGTCCAGGCCCATGGCGATGTGCGGGCTGCGGGCAGAAGCGGGTGAGGGAAGAGACCGCTGTGCCCCCAACCCGCCTGCCCAGCCCCGCACGCTCTCAGGCATCTCCTGTCTCCACGGCCCACGGCCGGGAACTCCCGACGGTCGCAAGTCCCCGTGCTCCCGGCTGGCTGGGCAAGGACGGGCCCTGGAGACGCGGGAGGCGGGCGGGCTGACCTCTGCGGCGTCCAGAGCTCCTCACAGATCTCGCTCCCGATGCAGGTGTCCCGCGTGGCCAGCACCGCGTCGCCGAAGGGCACGGTTTCCTGCAGGCGGACAGAGCAGGAGGCCGTGGCCACCCGTCTGGGCTGCGAGCTGCCCTAGGACCCCGTGTCCCCCGGGGACCGTCATGAGGCCACCGTTCTGCTTCGAGGCCTAATGCGCCCTCAGCTTGGAGCCCTCCCAGCCCAGGTGGCTGGCACGGCTGGCACCTCCCTGCTGCCCCTCAGGGTCACTAGCCGGAGCCGGAGCCGGAGCCAGAGCCAGAGCTGGAGCCGAGCTGGGAGCTGCCCGGAGCTCATGTGGCTGAGCGCACGGGATCAGCTCTGCAAGTGCCCCGGGCGTCACCACGGCTACAATGACAACAGCTCTCACTCGTCCAGGGTCCCTCCAGGCTCCACCTGGCGCTGAGCGCTCTCTGCCTCCTCTATGCGCCTATGCCCTTGGCCTGTCACTAGGGAGTAGCCCATCCCCGGGTCAGCAATGGCCCGAAAGGGCTCACGGGGGTCCTGCCACTGTGACGGGAGGGCTCCCGCCCCACAGGGTCCCCCACCGGCCTCACCTGCTTGGTCACGTCCTGGATCATCCGAGGGAGGAAATACTCCTCCGTCTGCCTGCAAGGGAAACAGCGTGGGCCTGAGCCTCGTGGTCGCTGCCGTCTCTCCCTCTCCCTTCCTCTCTGAAATCAACGAAAACATGTTTGAAAAAATGCAGAGGTGCGTCCTGAGGTGCCTGGAGACAGGAGCAAGTGAACCGGACGGGGAGCAGGGCTCGGGCACCGGGCAGTGCAGGGGGGCTGGCTTGTTATCAGGCTCGCGCAGCTATTGGTGACGTTTAAAACCGAATCTATATATCGACCTATAAAAGGCTGATATGCAGTGTCCCCTCGGGAGTTCAACCAAGAGACGGATTTCGATCGCTTGCTATGACCTGCTCTGTCCACCAGGGGGCAGCGTGGAACGAAGGAAGGCCCTGGCCAGCAGCCAGCAACTGGGGAAGGAAGGCCCCAGTCAGCCCTGATTGCCGGCCAGGCCTAGGGACCCTCCCTGTGCACGAATTTTGTGCACCGGACATCTAGTTCTTCCATAAAAAAGCAAAGTAGCTGAACTGTATAAAGGAATGAACCACTGGACGACTCTCACAAGCACCCTGCACAGGAGCCGGCTAGGGAAGCACGCACGCATGACTCTGCGTGAGACCCAGCGATGGAGCCCGTGCTGGGAGGGTCCGCCCTCCCCACCCCACCCCCCGGGGCAGGAGGTAGGCGGGAGCGTCCCCTCTGCCCGCGGGTGCCGCCTGCACCAATGCACTCCACCGCCCAAAGCTAAGCACCTAAAAGCGAACACTGTGTTCTACGTTATTCACACTGCAATGAGAAGGTTAAACGTTATTTGATATAATAATCCTAAGTCCTAATTGTTTTTGGTCAATCCTCACCCGAGGATATTTTTCCATTGATTTCTAGAGAGCGTGGATGGGAGAGAGACAGAGAGAAACATCGATCGGTTGCATCCCGCACGCACCCCTGACCGGGCCGGGGACTGAGCCTGAACCCAGTTTGCCCCGGGGGACATGTGACCTCATGTCTGCGACCTTCCGGTTGTCACAGTGGACGGAAGTCAGGGGCGGCCAGGGAGGCAGCTGCACACTTCCCGTGGGAGCACAGCCCACAGGAGCACGGTCCAGCCCCGAGCAGCAGGGCTGGCGTGGGGAGACCCTGACACACAGGCTCGCAAGATCGGCCGGGAGTGGGGGCCGGGGACGGGTGATGCCCTGTGACAAACTGGCTGCCACTTAATCAGCAGCAGCTAAATGCCAGGGGCTGGGGCCGGAGCTGTGGCCGAATTCCGTGGTCTCCCCCACGATCCGGACGGTGGCTCCTCCGGGTGAAGACGCCTCACAGACCCCGGAGAACGCACCTGCGCGTCGGACAGGGACTCACCGGCTCCTGGACCAGGGGGTGAACCAGCGCAGCTCGCGGTAGTTCCCTTCGTTGGCCAAGGCCATCTTGGGTCTGATGAGCAGGATCCTCCTGCAGGAGGGGACAGGGTGCCCCTGAGACCCCAGGCCCGGTCACGAGGGCAGCCCAGGCCGCCCGCCCGTCACGGAGCCTGACACCAGCGGGTGTCGCTCCGAGGGGCTGCGAGGGGCAGTGGGGAAGCCCACCCTAGTGTGACGGACCTCCCTCTCCAGGGCCCAGTGTCCCCAAACCTCACCCACTGTCTCTAACTCCCCAGGGAGCTGTGTCGGGGGCAGGGGCCGGGAGAGGCAGCGTTACTGGCATCGCCTGCCTGGTGCCCAGGAAGCCCCCGGGGACGGATCACAGCCCCGCCCGGAGCCCGGACACCCACCTGTTGAGAAATATCACCCTGCAGTTGTAGCGGACGTTACGGTGCATCACGGGCCTGCGGGGAGAGGGCGCCTCACTAAACACGCTGAGCCCCCTCCCGTGTGCTTCCGAGAGACCCCGTGGCCAGTCACAGCAAGAACGAGGATGAGGGGGAGGACACAGGCACGCAGATGCCGGGGGAGGGGAAGCAAGGGTGGCCATGTTCACGGGAGACAGGCGGAGCTGACATAAACAGACGCCACCCCGGGCCCACCAACCTGCTGTTAGCAACGTGTGGCCCAGACCCACACTAGGACAGCACCAGGCCAGGCCCACCTGTGACCTCCACCCATGTGACCTCCACCTGTGAGCCTCCACCTGTGAGCCTCCACCTGTGGGCCTCCCCCTGTGGGCCTGCACCTGTGGGCCTCCACCTGTGGGCCTGCACCTGAGGGCCTGCACCTGTGGGCCTGCACCTGTGGCCTCCACCTGTGAGCCTCCACCTGTGAGCCTCCACCTGTGGGCCTCCCCCTGTGGGCCTGCACCTGTGGGCCTCCGCCTGTGGGCCTCCACCTGTGGGCCTGCACCTTTGGGCCTGCACCTGTGAGCCTCCACCTGTGAGCCTCCACCTGT